CCTCAAAGGCACTGTCCCCGATGTGGGTCACTGAGTCCGGGATGGTCAAGGTTGCCAAGGATCTGCAACCAGCAAAGGCACTGTTCCCAATGTGGGTCACAGAGTCCGGGATCGTCAAGCTCGCCAAAGAGCTGCAATGAGCAAAGGCATAATTGCCAATGTAGGTCACGGAGTCTGGGATGGTCAATTTTGCCAAGGAGCTGCAACGATAAAAGGCACTCTGCTCAATGTGGGTCACTGAGTTTGGGATGATCACCTTGGCCAATGTGTCGCAACCGTCAAAAGCGAATTCACAAATCTGTGTTTCAGTGTCTGGAATTTCGACCACAAGCAGCAGTTCGGGGTCAACAATGCCGCCAAGACGGGCGATCGCTTTTTTGTTGGAGCATATCACGACATTTTGTTTGAAGACCACACTCACAACAGGATCTTCAGCAATTCCAGCTTCCAATACCTTTGCATCATTGGCCAGCAATCGGTTGCCTCCGACAATGATCTCTATAACTGTAGTGCTGCGAGTGAGCTCGTCCCAAGTCTTGCTTTCCTTGATCTGGCGCTTGAGTGCCCGGCCTGTCGTCTTTGGCGTGACTTCAAGAACTATGACGTCACCATTCGGCTGTCGCGCTGAAACCTTTTTGCCACTTGGCACCCATGGCTCAGACTATATGCATTTGGCTTAGTTTACCTGATTGCTTGTTGGCTAGCGGCTAGCCTGGAACAACAGTCCATGATCACGCACACATGTTTTGGTTTCTTCTCTGGACAGGTGATTCCGACACCAGTCAGATGCGCTGCGAGCAAAGCTCAGAGTGCTGCGAGATGTGGAGCTCTGGATCCCTGGATCTCTGGAAGTCCAGTGATCCTCAACACCTTCGCACCCGGAACCAGTCCCAGAAACCGTTCGAAACCGCTCAGACCACAGTCCGCTGTGCATGTCTTGTCCGGTCCGGAAGAGGTACCCAAACGGATGCATGAGGTCTTCGGGACGCAGTGCGCTATCCAAACGGGATCCAAGTACCAAGAGAGGTTTTTCACAGCCCGTCCTGAAAAAGCCCATCCGTACCAGAGACTACAGGGTCTGAAAGGGGTCTTAGTTCAGGTCTCCCAACCTCTCTTGCTACCTATCCGGATCTGCTTCGGAATGTTGGGGATCTGCAATTCAGATGGTGTGAAGTTACACGAACCGGTTTTCAGTGCTCAAGACTTCAAACATGCAAGACCATGCTGGTCTAATAGCTTCCCCAGCTGGGGTCTAGATCTCGACTTATACATCTTATACCCAAGTTGCATGTTTCTTTTTGATTCAACATGTCGAAACCGCCATGTTGCATGTTGGGTGTGACACTCTCATCCAAAATGGGTATTTAAGGACAAGTAAGAGTATGAGAACATATTGGAGATTCCTTGGATCAACGTTCGTTGCGTGGGCTGTTCTCCCCCAACGGACGGATCCACGCTGCTCCGACGGATGATTCGAGACATGCTGGGCGGCCAGGCAGTAGAGGCCACCGAACTTCAAAAGACCGGAGCAAAGCTCCTTGGCCTTGATATGCCTGGACTTGGGACAGGGAACTGGGGGCAGGGAACTGGCAGGTCATGCTTGGCCTTTTTCTTGGTTCGGTCATCCTCTTGGGGGGAAGGCATGCCAGCGCATGCCGGCGCTCGGGCAGCAAAGACGCGCGGTGTGGACTGGGGGGAAGGTAAGCGCGGCATGAAACAGGGCGAGACGCGCCAGCGGAGCCGCGGCAGCTGGAAGATCTGGACAATCCATTCCCTAGGACTCCAAAGACATCCTCAGAAGGTATTTGGACCCTCCAAACCCACTCCAAACACTTTCTGAGAAGCGTGAGAAGGTACGACTGGAGCCCTATGGATTTGCTGCCTTGCATTCAGATTTCACCGAACAGGACCAAGATCAGATCAACCAGTCCTAGACACGACCGGACTGCCATATTTCACCTAGACACGACCGGGTGGTTGGTTGAAAAGGGGTCGTACCAGGGGCCCGAAGCAAACCATGAAAAACTAAAGGTCTTCACATACCAAAACCATGGTGTTTTGCTAGGGAACAGTCGGTTTTGGATGGGCCATGTGGGGTGTTTTTTGGGGGCGGCATCTATGGACGTGGGCACCAGCAGTTGCAATGGCCCCTCTTCAGGGGGACGAGCTGCCCAACACCCAGGCCCTCCGAGGGACGAGCTCCACGTCGACTCCTATACTTCACCTGGTCCTGTATAGATCGTACTATAGTATAGTGCTTTTTGTAGGACCACGGAGCACATCCAGTTATTTCTCTCAAAAAGAAGGTCCAGCCCCTGAAGGTGAAGATTCGAGATGTCCATTCACCACCCCTGGGGTTTGGGGTGTCTGAATAGCTTTCTTAAAGAAGGTGAAGTTGAGGCCGACCAGGAGTCCAAGACTATGTTAATCATCAAGTTCGAGAAAGGAATTTCAATATGACTCATCTTTGAACTTCTTTGGGTTTATATATAGTTATAATGGATGTTTAGGGAGTTGGGAGTCTGAGAATCAAACGAATATATGAAAGAATGATCTATTTGGCCACTTGAGTCTTCACCATAGGACAGAAACGTGAATCATTCATCCATCCAGCATGATCTTGTTTCTTGCAAGCAACATTGCAGCAACTAATTCACGTACACACCTGCTGAAGTCCAAGACACCTGCTGTTTCGGTCCTGGTATGAGTCATACCCAGACACTCCATGTATGCCATATATGCCTACATTTGGGTGGGTTTGGGGGTCAATGTAGGCATATATGGCATACATGGAGTGTCTGGGATATAGGCTCCAGATGCCTCGCCCTCGCGACCTGCCCGCGACGGCTCCGCGGCTCGACCCACGCTCCGTCCGCTGCGGGGCCTCTCGGAGCGCATCTCAAAGGCCGTCTTCAGCTGCGGCTCCGCCTGGCCCACAGCGAGGGATTGACCGGTTTGGGCGATTTGGTTGGGGGGGGGGACAGTGTGATCTTGCTCCTTCGGCGTTTGGGGGGTGTTTTCTCTGGGCGAGTGGAGCTTGCGATCGATCCATGACGTGGCAAGAGAAGGTCGACCTCCACCGGTGGCTGAACGCACAGCCACCGCCCAGCATCGAAGCAGGCTGCCGCAGGCGTGCGTTCGTTGGGTGGCCCTCCAACAAGCTGAACGCATGGTTGTCTCCAAAAACTCTCACGCGCAGCTTGTTTGGACCCAAAAAAGCCAAGACCCAAATAGACCCCGCAGTTCCAGCGAACGGTTGGGTGCTGCTCAACCCCGCGAACGGAAGGAGTTGGGTGCTCTCCCCTGTCAGAACTGAAGAAACAAAGCGCGGCTTGGGGTCAGTTGGGAAGACTCCTCCAGTATCAATGACCACCCCAGAACAAAAGCCTAGCCGGTGAGTTCACCATCACCTGCCTGCACTTACTCTGAGGTAGGATGCAAAATTGGATGCCTTTTCATCAAGAAAACTAGCCAGAAGCTAGGCAAACACTCCCTAGGGATCCAAGTACCTTCTCAGAAGGTGATTGGAGACACTGCTATGTAGGTGCCATTGTCGGGTCCAGTCGTACCTTCTGAGGTTCGGTACGACTGGATCATAGGGACTTTGGAAGATCCCAGGAACATCTACTCGGCTTCCCAGTACGACCATGGACCCTTTCCCCAACCAAATCATGCACAACTGGCCAACGGCTGGAAGCGGGAACATGGAAAATAGAAATCCTTGACTGGACCATGACTGGACACCTCACGCGGTGATGTGTGTTGTTTACCACCAAATGGGATCCAGTTGCACCATATTAGGTCTTAGGATCCTCCAAACCTGGAGAAAAGGAGAAAAGTGTGGAACACATCACCAATATACCTCAGAAGGGATCCGAAGGGAATCTCTATAGGCCAATGCACGCGACAACCGTACAGCGGACTCCGCCCAGTGACACGGTTCCTCACGAAGATCCGCGTCGGCTCCGAAGGGATGGCACCTCGCACGCATCGAAGATCCGTTGCATGCGCGCCAATTCCTCCGTGGCACACGTCGCGCGTGGAGGTCGCTGGGCTGGTGAAGAAATCCGTGGAAGTCCACGGTGGGGCGGAAGTGACCAACGGTGGAGGTTACGGATGTGCTCCGGTTGCTTCGCAGCGGACGGACCCGCACGGTTCCCCCAATTCTCTGATGTTTGGTCGCTGACGAGACGACCCAAAGTGGCAGGTGGTGACCGGAGTGCTGCTAGAGGCCGGCCGCTCTACCCAGACACGACCGATGGGACTGCCAGTCCGGACTGCCGAGAAACGGCCAGGGGTGGTGCTGCAAGAGTCAATGTAGGCACATATGGCAGTCCCATCGGTCGTGTCTGGGATAGGAAGACATGAGGGCAATGAGGGGGAAAACCTGTACAGGCCAGCGTGCTCCTCTGGGAGCATCACCATGTTGGTGTACAGCTTGGTGTTCCAACATTTTGTTGGACATGTGTTGGCGCTACGGCGCTGGCCAGCTGCCTCCAGCCACCACTCTTCGTGGCCCAGGCTGTGGCAGAGTAAGTTTACACACACACACAAACTGGTCGCTGAACATTTTTGGTGCTCTCTCGAAGGCACAGTCCGAAGCCGCCCTTCTCCAAACGCTCGGCGCCACATGGCCGTGCTCGGCGCCACATGCGCCGGCGGCGCGCGCCGCTCGGCGCCATTTGAGAGATCTTCTCACCCCACCGAACAGGGCTTTCTGACACCCAAACACTTCACAAAAAAGTTCACCATGGATCCCCTGAAATCAACCACTCCTGGCCTGATCCGGTATACCTGGATTTGTCCAACTACCCAAACGCTCCAAACAGGCCTTGGTCCCTCAAAACCATAGGGTTTTGAGGGTTCAGACCCCTCCAGAGGATTCGGGTCCGACCCCTGCATAGGTTCGGGTCCAGGGTCGCGTCTGGCTAGACCAACTTGTGCCTATGTTCATCCAAAACGAAAAGCCCAATTCGGCCGAACTGTGGCAGTTCTTTTCACGACGACCGTCACTCCGATGTCGACGTCCCGAACCAAAGCACCGTTGCGCGCCGCACCGCACGAGCCGCGCGCACACCGCACCGAACACCCAGATCCCCCGCGGTCTCGACCCCGCGCGCTCGTGCGCGGGCGCGCCGCGCGCCAGCGCCGGTGTCCCGGAGGGTTCGTGTTCCGGCTCCTTCTTGGTGAAGCCCTCCACGGCTCGATAGGCGGCCAAAAACCGGAGCAGCTCCTCTCGACGCTTCGGGCTTCGGTGTTCGTTTCGCGGGGTCGCCGCTGTGTCGCCAGGTCGTTCGGTGTTCGATCCCGGTGCGTTTGAGGTACCGAGTCGAGTGGAGTCAGGGGAACCCCAGGAAAGTAGACCAGTCAACCTCCCGGAGGCGAAGCTGCTACCCACAGCAACTGCGGTGCCATGTCATGTTCCGTCCAAACAACACCCTGCCCAGACGCTCATGGACCCTCCTAAGTAGGGGTCCGGACCCTCAAATCCCTAGGGTTTTGAGGGACCAGTCGAGCTGTTTGGAGCGTCTGGGTGGTTGGTTTAGAGTCCAAAGCTACCCGGACCGCGAGTGAAGGGGTTGGGTCACTGAGGCCTTTGGGTGAGACATGGTCAGACCATCCAAGCTCTCTAAAGGTACGACGGACTGGAAGATTGGGAATATAGCTTAAATGAATTGGACCATATATCCCATATTATACACTATACACTCCATTGCGATATGCCTACATTGGCCCCCCTGGCACCACCCCTGGCCTGATCGGCATATATGGCAGTCCCATGGAGTGCATGAGTATAATACTATATACCAGCACCCCCAGTCGGGGTGGTTAATGGACTCCCCTGAACATCTAAGGGGCTATAAATAGACACCCCGACAGGAGGGTCCTGGTACAGACCCATATTTCTACAAGACTTGTGGACCTTTCTGGACTTCCACTGGCATCAACCTAACTTTGGAACATGAACGCCCCGGTCCATGCGAGGATTTCCTCCACGCCACGGTCGACCGGTTCACCTTCATCGGCCGTGTGTTTTCGCGAAAGCGAACGTCGGCGCCACAGTGGAGGTGTCGGTGCCCTCGGTAGCCCGGTAGCCCGGAGGTCACAGCAGGTGATTTCCGTGGCTTTCTGCGAAAAGAAAGAGCACGGGCCCTGGAGCCATGTTCCGACGAAAGAGCGGCCATGTTTGCCAAAGGAACGGCTGGAAATGGATGATGACCCGGACCCGAGAAAAAGGGCAGGTCATTTTTATGTTCACCTGGAACCCCAGTCCCAACCAGAAACCAATGGTTGGAACCCAATATGGCGCCAGCTTGAAATCCTTTACAATAGCAAGTGGTTGGGACTGGGTTTCGTTCCATCCATTTCTTTCTGCTTGGGACTGGGGTTCCAAGCAATCTCCAACATGGTCGACCGGTCGACTGTTTGGGGGGGCTCTGTCAGGCTGTCTGTGTCTCCGTGACCACCGTGTCTCCGCGGTCTGCGCTGTTTTTTCGCGCCTTCGAAAGCGATGCCGAGCGATGCCGCCAGCACTGGAGACCGGCACAGGGAGCCAGAAACCAACGGAAGTCGAAGCACTTATGACAGCAACATTCTGTGGCGACGATTCTCTTGCACCCACGTAGTTTGTACATCTCAAAGAACCTGATCTCCAAAACAAACACTCTCACCACCAGAGACTTGCAACCGTCAAAGGCATTGTCCCCAATGTGGGTCACAGAGTTCGGAATGGTCAAGCTCGCCAAGGAGCTGCAACCAGAAAAGGCCTCACCTCCGATGTGGGTCACTGAGTTCGGGATGGTCAAGCTCACCAGGGCACTGCAACCTTGAAAGGCAGCACTCCCAATGTGGGTCACGGAGTTCGGGAAAAGTAAGTTTGTCAAGGATTTGCAATTCGCAAAGGCACGATCCCCAATGTGGGTCACGGAATTTGGGATGGTCAAGCTTGCCAAAGAGCTGCAACTAGTAAAGGCAAACCTCTCAATGCGTGTCACTGAGTCCGGGATGGTCAAGCTCTGCAAAGAGGTGCAACCTGCAAAGGCACGATTCCCAATGTGGGTCACTGAGTCTGGGATGGTCAAGCTCACCAAAGAGCTGCAACCAACAAAGGCATTGTCCCCAATGTGGTTCACTGAGTCTGGGATGGTCAAGCTCTGCAAAAAGCTGCAATATGCAAAGGCAAAGTCCCTAATGAGGGTCACTGAGTTTGGGATGGTCACGCTCACCAAAGAGCTACAACCTGCAAAGGCAAACTCCCCAAAGTGGGTCACTGAGTTCGGCATGGTCAAATTTGCCAAAGAATTGCAATTACGAAAGGCCGCAATCCCAATGTAGGTCACTGAGTTCGGGATGGTCAAGTTCACTAAAGAGCTGCAACCGAAAAAGGCACCAATCCCCATGTGGGTTACTGAGTCCGGGATGGTCACGTCGACCAAAGAGCTGCAACACTTAAAGGCACGATCCCCAATGTGGGTCGCAGAGTCTGGAATCGTCAATTTGGCCAATGTTTCGCAACCGTCAAAAGCGCTTTCATGAACTTGAGTTTGATCACTTGGAAATTCGACCACAAGCAACAATTCGAAGTCAACGATGCCCCCAAGACTGATTGCATCTTTGTTGGAGCACATGACTGTGTTTGTTTTGAAGACAACACTCACGACAGTATCTTCAGCAATTCCAGCTTCCAATACAGTTGCATCATTGCCAAGCAATTGGTCGTCTCCCACAATAATCTCCACACCTGTGGTGCTTCGAGTGAGCTCATCCCAAGACTTTTGATCCTTGATCTGCTGCTTGAGTGCTCGGCCTGTCGTCTCTGGCATGACTTCCAGAACCATGACCTCACCATTCGGCTGCAGCGCTGAAATTATCCTTGCCATTGCTTAAAGACTTTTTGACGGATTTGAGCTGATGCTTCCTCTAAATGTCAAGCCTGTCTTCTGCCTGCTTATTGTTGGCCATAGCATTTGGCACTTAAGCAAATTTGGCTTTGCGTGGCAATTGGGAAACCTGTTGCTCATGAAAGTATGTGAATCACTGTCATACGATTGCATGGACCTATTTGTCTCCACCGATACTCTCCACCGATTCGCCAAATCAGAGCCGCCCGAACCCGCCACGCCACCGCTCCGAGCTGCGTCGCAACATCCGTCGCCGGATCGATTGGGTGCACCAGAGCGACCCGCCGAGGAGACAAAGCAAACCACCCCAAACTCGACCCCTGAACTGCTCTGGAAGGTGAAGAAAAACATGAAAAAGCAATTCTTCATTTCGAGCTGAACAAAAAAACGCTCCAAACCACCCAACCAGCCCCGAACCAAACCGGTCCGGTCTTTGGTGTTCGACACTGGGTATGGCAGATGATCCCACACACGGCGGGCGCCCATGGGTACCACGGTCATCCGATGTCATCCGGGGAGTCCTGGACGTCTCGCCGACTAAACTACCAGGTCAGTCTACACTCTACCAGGTCTCCTACTCCACCTGGACAGGAAGTGCGAAGTTCAACATGGTATCCCTCAAAGTCCAGTCGACTAAAAAGAATGGTCTGACGATGACGATGAGTTCGGTGACCCGAGGAACTGGGAAGTTCAACTTTCAGGTCGGTCCAAAGATCGTCGGTTCCTAGACTTCCAAAAGGGAAGTCTTGGAGTTCAGTCTGGCCACGGAATCCCTAAAGGGATCCATGGTACTAGGGATGGTCTACTTCGATCCATTCTACCTGCCACCCTCCATCCGATCGGACGTCAAAAAGCCGCGTGAACGCGTGAGCTCGCCGCATCGCGTGCTTTTGGTGCGTGAAGCATCAGCGAAGGCCGTGCCCTCTTCGATCCAAGAAAACACATGAAAACAGGCACATCGCGTGTGAAATATAACCTAGGCATCCGTGCAAACTGGAGATGATATACTTTCGTTGTGCTCCCTGTTTCGTCCAGAAAGGCGACCTCGATGGAGGTTTGATCGTGAAGGGGAGGAGACGCTAAGCCTATAGGCTAGCGGTCTCTCACTGCCAGGATTGTTGGGCAGGTCCTTTTAAAGAGGTCTAACCATTGGTGACCTGGCAGGTTTCGGGTCCAGGTATCGCGAAGAACCATGAAAGGGGGATCTTCTAGACTTCCGTTCGAACATTAAAAACATGGTTTTTCACTGGCTTTTGGAGTGTATAAGCCTATAATAAATTGAATACCAGCACCCTCCAACAGGTCACCAATTGAAACCTGTTAGGGCCTAACAACCCTCCAAAGGAGACCTGTTGGAGGGTGCTGGTAGTGGTTGGAAGTCTAGGGGATCCATATCATAGGGGCCCTGTAAGTCTGGTATCGAACGAAATTGCCTCGCCCCAGCTGCTCCCACACATTGCCGTGTTTTGGGTGACCAAAGCATGCCTAGCGATGGCGCCAGCCATGGAGACCAGCGCAGCCAGTTAGAAACCAACGAAAGTCGAAGCACTCATGACAGCAACTTTCTGTGGCGACGATTCTCTTGCACCCACGTAGTTTGTACATCTCGAAGAACCTGATCTCCGAAACAGACACTCTCAACACCAAAGACTTGCAACCCACAAAGGCATGCTCTTCAATGTGGAGCACTGAATTCGGGATGGTCAAGTTTGTCAGGGAAGTGCAGTAGCCAAAAGCGCCCCCCCCTATGTGGGTCACAGAGTTCGGAATGGTCAAGCTCGCCAAGGACATGCAACCAGAAAAGGCCTCACCTCCGATGTGGGTCACAGAGTTCGGAATGGTCAAGCTCGCCAAGGACGTGCAACCAGAAAAGACCTCACCTCCGATGTGGGTCACAGAGTTCGGAATGGTCAAGCTCACCAGGGCACTGCAACCTTGAAAGGCAGCACTCCCAATGTGGGTCACGGAGTTCGGGAAAATTAAGTGTGTCAAGGATTTGCAATTCTGAAAGGCACGATCCCCAATGTGGGTCACAGAGTTTGGGATGGTCAAGCTTGCCAAAGAGCTGCAACGAGCAAAGGCACCCACTCCAATGTGGGTCACTGTGTCTGGGATGGTCAATTTGGCCAATGTACTTTGGCCGAAAAAAGCTAATGTGCGAATTTCTGTTTCTTCATCTGGAATTTCGACCACAAGCAAAAGGTCTGGGTCAGCGATGCCACCAAGACCGGCGAGCGCATTCAGGTAGCAACATATCACTTTGTTTGGTTTGAAAACAACACTCACAACAGTATCTTCAGCAATTCCAGCTTCCAATACAGTTACAGCATTCCCAAGCAATTGGTCGTCTCCCACAATAATCTCCACACCTGTGGTGCTTCGAGTGAGCTCATCCCAAGACTTTTGATCCTTGATCTGCTGCTTGAGTGCTCGGCCTGTCGTCTCTGGCATGACTTCCAGAACCATGACCTCACCATTCGGCTGCAGCGCTGAAATTCTCCTTGCCATGGCTCAAAGACCTTTTGACGGATTTGAGCTGATGCTTCCTCTAAATGTCAAGCCTGTCTTCTGCCTGCTTGTTGGCCATAGCATTTGGCACTTAAGCAAATCATTGGCTTTGCGTGGCAATTGGGAAACCTGTTGCTCATGAAATTATGTGAATCACTGTCATACGATTGCATGGACCGATTTGTCTCCGCCGATACCACCGATTCGCCAAATCAGAGCGGCCCGAACCGGCCCCGCCGAGCCGCGTTTCACACATCCGTCGCGCCACGCGCGATCCGAGCGCCACGCGCCACATCCGTCGCCGGATCGATCGGTCGCGCGCTGGGAGTGCCCTCCACGGATGTTCCAAGAGAGGTTGAACAGCCTTATAGCCCGTCCCATATGTACCACTACAGGGTCTTATAAGGTCTCTCAACCTCTCTTGGTTGGAGGAAGGAAGGAAGGAAGTCGGGGTGCCCCTGTCACATCCCAACCAGAGCGACCCGCCGAGGAGATGAAGCAAACCACCCCAAACTCCACCACTGCTCTGGAAATGTCTGGAAGGTGAGGAAAAAAAATGAACAAGCAATTCCTCATTTCGAGCTTATATAGACGCTCCAACCCGTGCGTGGTGCGTGAACTCGCCGCATCGCGCGCGTGCTGAACGGGTCGGCGAAGGCCGTGCCCTTTTCAGCATAAAGAAAACATGAAAACAGGCACATCACGTGTGAAAAAGGCACCTATAGGCATCCGTGCAAACCGGACATGAAATACACTTGATAAAAGGCGACATTGATGGAGGTTTGATCGTCATGAAGGGGAGGAGACGCTAAGCCTAGACTAGCGGTCTCTTACTGCCAGGATTGTTGGGCAGGTCCTTTCTTTTAAGAGGTCGAACCATTGGTGACCTGGCAGGTTTCGGGTCCAGGTATAGCGAAGAACCATGAATTGGGATCCCCGTTCGACCATTAAAAACATGGTTGAACTGGTTTTTGTAGTGTAAAGCCTATAATAAATTGAATAGTGGTGGGAAGTGAGTCTAGGGGATCCAGTCTGGTATCTAACTCATGGAAATTGACCGGTCGCCCACACATCGCTAGGATGCCTAGTGATGGCGCCAGCACTGGAGACCAGCGCAGCCAGTTACAGTGGAGGCCCTATGTCACATCAACTTCTTGCTGGGAACTCTATTTCCTTTGCGATTCCATGGATGCGACCCCCTCACATCATGGTCACATCAACTCTACATTTAGCTTGTGGAAAAGAGTTGCTTCCAGAATGAAGTTAGTGGTACTTGTTGGTACTCTTCTGTTAGTGTCTCCCAATGGCACCCAAGAATAAAATTCAAGACAAAGCATTCCTTTTCACCCACAGTAGAAACCAGCGGAAGTCGAAGCACTCATGACAGCAACCCTCTGCGGCGACGATTCTCTTGCACCCGCGTAGTTTTGACATCCCCAAAACAGACACTCTCAACACCAAAGACTTGCAACCCACAAAGGCATTGTCCCCAATGTGGGTCACTGAGTCCGGGATGGTCAAGCTCTGCAAAGAGCTGCAATCTGCAAAGGCAAAGTCCCCAATGTGGGTCACAGAGTTCGGGATGGTCAAGCTCGCCAAGGAGCTGCAACCAGAAAAGGCCTCACCTCCGATGTGGGTCACTGAGTTCGGGATGGTCAAGCTCACCAGGGCACTGCAACCTTGAAAGGCAGAACTCCCAATGTGGGTCACGGAATTTGGGATGGTCAAGCTTGCCAAAGAGCTGCAACTAGCAAAGGCAAACCTCTCAATGTGGGTTACAGAGTCTGGGATGGTCAAGCACTGCAAAGAGCTGCAATCTGCAAAGGCACCGTCCCCAATGTGGGTCACAGAGTTCGGGATGGTCAAGCTCACCAAAGAGCTGCAACCAACAAAGGCTCTGTTCCCAATGTGGGTCACTGAGTCTGGGATGGTCAATTTGGCCAATGTACTTTGGCCGAAAAAAGCTACTGCGCGAATTTCTGTTTCTTCATCTGGAATTTCGACCACAAGCAAAAGGTCTGGGTCAGCGATGCCACCAAGACCGGCGAGCGCATCCAGGTAGGAACATATCACTTTGTTTGGTTTGAAGACAACACTCACAACACTATCTTCAGCAATTCCAGCTTCCAATACAGTTACATCATTGCCAAGCAATTGGTCGTCTCCCACAATAATCTCCACACCTGTGGTGTTTCGAGTGAGCTCATCCCAAGATGTTTGATTCTTGATCTGCTGCTTGAGTGCTCGGCCTGTCGTCTCTGGCATGACTTCCAGAACCATGACCTCACCATTCGGCTGCAGCGCTGAAATTATCCTTGCCATTGCTTAAAGACTTTTTGACGGATTTGAGCTGATGCTTCCTCTAAATGTCAAGCCTGTCTTCTGCCTGCTTGCTGGCCATAGCGTTTGGCACTTAAGCAAATTTGGCTTTGCGTGGCAATTGGGAAACCTGTTGCACATGAAATTATGTCAATCACTGTCATACGATTGCATGGACCTATTTGTCTCCACTGATACTCTCCACCGATTCGCCAAATCAGAGCCGCCCGCCACGCCACCTAGCTTCGCTCGATCCGAGCGGTGTCGCCACATCCGACGCCAAAAGTCATCAGCGCCCAGGGGGGCTATGCATGAACGGAGGAAGGAAGGAAGGAAGGAAGGAATGAATGAAGTCGGGGTGCCCCTGTCACATAACCAGAGCAACCCGCCAGAGTCTGGAAGGTGGAAGAAAAAAACCATCCCCACAGACGCTCCGTCGTTCACGACGCCCGACTGGGTCCCTTAAAACCATATATAGTGATTGGTTCGACCCCAGAAGCCCTCCATAGCTTCGGGGGCCGGGAGCAAAAAAAGAACGCTCCAAACAGCCGCACGATCCATGAAGTGCTTGGATGATCCTCAAGATGAGCGTACTTATATTGTGAACTTCATGCCCTGGAGTCCTATCCTTGGGCCATGAGGAGTTGCTGCTCAGTTGCTGAAGAGAGAACCGAGTTCTGTGGAATCACCCGGCCGGAAGAGAGGTTTCCACTGAATTGACTGCTGAAGTCACATGCCCTTTGACCAGCGGATCTTCAGATCTGCTGCACCGACCGGCGGATCGACGCGACCCTGGGCCCTCATATGGAGGGGTCTGGGGTCGAACCAATCCCTATGGTTTTGAGGGACCAGTCGGGCTGTGAATGGAGCATCATCGGGTCAAACAAGACGTCTATGGAAAAAACACCGACCCGACCTGCTCGCGAGACTCGTTGGTGTTCTCGGACCTCTCGGCCGTTCTCACGTGTGTGTCGCTGGACTCGGCCGTTCTTGCGTCGCTTGCTTTCAGTGGGGCTCCTCGGGCTTGGTGCAGCTGTAGTGCTCCAACCCCCCCCAACTTCAAAATCTCTTGCACCTCCTCCTGCGCGACGTCCGCTTCATCCGGACGACGTCCGAGCGAAGCGAATGTGGGGGACGGTCCGGGAGGGGGTTGGTTGGGGTTCGAGAAGATGCATCGTTTTATATAATAAGGTTTGCAGGATTATGAGTTCAATGGGTTCTTACAGATCTATTGTTGTTTTACAAGATGTTTACTCTAGCTATAGAGATAGTTGCTGTATTGTACAAGTAAGTGTAGAATCCTTCTACAAAACCAGGTGAACCAACTTTATAATGGTCTTGGAATAGTGCTGATTTGTTTATAAGAAATCCCTCAGCTTGCATCCTGGATGATGGTAGTTGATAGGATTCAATACAACCCAAGTGGTAGATCATGGTAGATCCCTGGACCATCCCAAAAGGCAAATCCCAAAAGGTATACCTTGTCCAATGGGGGATTTTCTGTCCGACACCACAACCTGGAAGGCCTCAGGTGGTTTTCATCTGGCAAACATATATGATGTTCACCTTAACCGTTCCAAAGGGGTGCCGAACTTGAAGGACATGGATGCCAATGTCATCCACTGAGACTCAAGTCGACTATGTAAAAGCAATTCCTTTCAAACTGACTGCTGGTAGCAGTTGTTTCTTCAGGATTCTTCATGTTTTTTGCAAGTATCTACATGGCTAGATATGGCTAGATATCTCCACCGAACCGACAAGGCGACCAGGTCTGAAGCGAGGCCTAGCTGCCTAGCTGGTGAGTGGACAAAAGCACCAGAAACTAGAAACCAAGCGACAACCAAGGTCAATCACCACTCAGTCTCCCTCTATACCTGAGGGCTTATACCTGAGCTATACCATTTGGGTCATACGCTTGCTTCTTTGAAGAAGTTCGTCTTTCTTCGAAGAACGCCATCGTGTTGTCAAGACACGCCCATCGTGCGCCCAAACCAAAAAAACCATCGAGATTTAAAAAAACAAATCGTTCCAAAACCTCTGCTGGTTCCCCTCCTTCAGGCAAATGATGCCCATGCTCTTGAAGAACCCCTGCACTTCCTGCGCGTCGCGTCGCGTCGCCCGGTCGGTCGAGTCGATGCTTACCTAGAGAAGCAAAACACTAACAATTTGTAGGCTCCTGGATGAAACATCGCTTTTTCTAGGGAAGAGATGGAAAACATCGTCTTTTCTCGAAAAAGATCGTCTTTTTGGTAAAACCACTGAAGAATAGCTCCGGCTACCATAAACAAACACCTGTCTCCCGGATCTTGCTTTCAGGTGAGTGCCGAATGGATCCGCAAGTCACCAAATGTCGAGCATTCTTCCGATTCTTCCATCTGTGTTGGTCATCTTAAATTAAATAGCCTTTTTGTGAATTTGGAGGGCGCCTTCACTGAAAACATAAGACACCGTATTTATCCCGTACGGAGCCCGTACTTAACCCGTACTAACCCATACGGAACCCGTATTTTCGATCTGCCCCAAAAAACATTGTGTTTTGAGAACCCATATTAAACCCGTACGGAACCCGTACTAACCCATACTAAACCGTACTAAAAATATGGTTTTTTTGCATCCCTGACAACCAGATGCCATTTGTGAGTTCTTAGGCTTGCAGCTGCATGTTGAAGGCTCACTCTCGATCCGGGTGAAAAGTGTTCTTGGTGAGGTCGACATTTGGTGACTTGTGTCCGAAATTCAGGTGCGTGCTGTCCGATCCAAAACACACATTTTGGAAAACATCGTCTTTTCCTAAAAAAGATCGTCTTTTTCCAATGTACTACGTTTTCTTGGTATCTTGTTTCCCTAGGTAGATAGAGTCTGCCGAGCACCATAGACCACGTGCGTGGCAGGAACTTGACCCCCAACATGTCTTATAGGACCCTCATAGCTAGGGGGTTGACCCTCACAACCTTGGGTTTTGGACCTCAAACATGTAGCAGTTCTTTAGTCTTTGCAAAGAATCGGGTTCCTTTCGGCCAAATCCACCGATCCCCTCACTTTTCGGGCTGAACATGGCTGAACCGAAGGACACCCTGCTCGATCCGGATCGGCGTTCCCTTCATCGCCTTCACCGGGTTGACTTCATAATCTTCCTCCTTCGTTCGCCTCACAGTCGAAGGTATCGGAAGGCTTCGCCTTCCGCCTCACCGTCGGTGGTTGGGTAGTGAAGCACGGAATGCTGGAATCCCCGGAATCCCACCCTGCAATTTCAAGGGTGCGTTGAAATGTTGTTTCGACAAACAGTCCGGTTTACAAAACACTGTGTTTGTTCAAATGTAATCTACATGTAAAATAATGCCACGGATGTGAGGTGTATTTTATCTGTTCCTTTCCTTTTGTTGTTGGACACCCAAACGTGGTAAGGTGACCCAACACCATCCTGTGTTTCATGTCTGTGAATATGCAGAAGATCATCGATTTCAATGAAAAAAATGCTGCTCTGAGTTGAGGCGAATCGTCGAAATCGAGGCCAGTCCAGCTCGTTTGGGTTTCCATGGTCCGACAGGGGTTTCGTTCTTCACGTCTCACATGACGTTCCCCGAAGCAAGACCATGGAAGTCCACAACTATTAATTATAATGCATGGTCTGAGTGGCCGGATAGATCTTCCACCAACCCGTGCTCGAAAACTGGTTTCTGCGTCATGGAACGTACGCCCAGCGGGCTGTAGTCGCTCGGGCGTGATGAACACCCAACAAGAGACGTCCCATGAGCCTCGCGTAGTTCGCGACCCACTCGGTGGGGTCGAGATACGCGTATCAACCGAGGCGTGATCCACTTGGCGCCCCAAACGAGATCCACTCTTCAATCTTCACCCGCACCACCTGGCTGTCTGGGATGCGGTTCGTGCCACTTCGCGCTGTCTTCACCCGGGCCATGCAGGTCAGAAGTTGCAGATGTTTGGGGAGGAGACAGGCAACAGGAAAAGGAGATGGACCAGCCGAAAAGGATCACGGTGCCAACATCGAAAAACAAAAGCAATCAAAAACATATTAACGCAGTCACTCACCTGCCAAAAGTGGTCAAAGGTGAACACTTTTGAGGTGTAGAGCCTTGGGCCTTGGGTGAATCACTAAGACCAACAAAAAAGATGCAAACAGAGTTGGAGCATGGGGAAAAACAAAAATTACACTAGCATAGACCCAGATAGCTAGGCAGAATCCCACGACCTGTTGACATGCGACTGGCTGGAACAAGAATGTACGCAGCCTGCACAGCCAGCTTACAGCACCTCCACAGCGCGCACAACCAGCTGACACCAGCACTGGTGCGCTTTGCGGCACCGGCGACAGCGCCCGACCAGCGCCGCCGCCCGTCTTAAACGCGCTCTCAGCCAGCTCACAGCACCAGCATCCTGCAGGACCACAACACGGCGCCAGCACCGACACCCTTTCGAAAGCGCATGCAGCCAGCTCATTCTCATTTGCGGCAAGAACCCCATAGCTATCCCTATTTGGGGAAAACAACGTATGATCTTGCGCGTATAAGATCATGTGCGCAAAAGTGCGCGCGCAAACGGCAAAGCCCGTAGGCTTCACTCCCCCAAGGCCAAGCAGTATCCAGCACGACTATTGTGTGAGTAGCATGCTGAAACATGCTGAAACAATGGTCGGCCTGACGTTAGGCATAGAACATTGTACAAAAGTATGCGCGCAAACAGTACGGCGGGGCACTTGACACAGCTGTCGGCCAAAACAGAACCTGAAGAGTGTAATTACCCCACAGCGCCAATAGACAAAGAACGTTCAAGTGACAACACCGTATATATGATTTTGCGTGCAAAAGTTCACGCGGCCTATGACTGCTGGCACTTCGTTGTCAGAAGCAGCGATTGGTCGCCCTACCGGCGCCCAGTCTCCAGCACGCGCACTGCAGCTCACAGCACCGGCGCCGACCCGCTGTCTCCACCACGCGCACTCCCAGCGCCCAGCACCAGCGCCACAGTCTGTGCACAGCCAGCTCACAGCACCAGCACCGGCACCGGCACCCGGTCTCCACCACGCGCACAGCCACCGGCGCCCTGTCTCCACCACGTGCACAGCCTACAGCACCAGCACCGGCACCCGGCACCCAGCACCAGCCTGTCTCCACCACGTGCACAGCCAGCTCACAGCACGAGCACCGGCACCCAGCACCAGCACCGGCAACCTGTCTTGAAAGAGCGCGCGGGCAACTCAGACTCATTGTTATTTGAAGTAAGAACCCCATAGCTTCGCTATCTGGGGAAAAACACTTGGGGGACGTCACTCCTTCCAGCAGAATGAACCTCTAGAAGGTCTAGAGGTAGAAGCAGAAGGTCTAGAGATCTAGACGCATTGGGCTCCGCGAAGGTGGCGATGAAGGTGGAAGTTTTGCTGGTGAGTGGTGTTTTGAACGACACTTAATAGTGTTCACCCTTTAAAGTATTACACTTACATGTACACCCTACATTTTGAGTGACCACGTATACCACCTGGGTGAGTCAGTGGTGTTTTGGCAGGTTTTTGTCAGTGGTGTTCTTTGTTGGTTCGTTTTTTCATGCTTCCGATGGTTTCATGGATGGCGATTCACCCGGTTTCTGACCGGGTTGGCATCCGTTGGCATGGCGGACGCGTTCGTCGTTGGTTTCGATGGACATCCGCATCCACTGACACCATCCTAACAGGGATTTGGTGCTTGGAGACACGTACTGGAGGGTGCATGCACCAAAAAGGAGGGGTCCATTCATTCAATCGAAGGTAGGAGTGCGGGTGATCTTGCATGATTGGTGCTTGGTTGACTAGATTGATCTTCCTTTTTCCTTCGAGCCGCAACCCAGTCCTCTTTTCTCAGGAGTCAATGGGGCAGCACTTGAAGGCAGCATATATACCAAGTCCCAAACAGGTCATGTCTGGGCATTGAAATTCCAAGAGAGGTTGAGAGACCTGAACTAAGACCCTGGTCTGTGGTACATGTGGGATGGGCTATAAACACGGCTGTTCAACCTCTCTTGGTTGTTCTGCACTTGAGTTCACTGCGATCCGTTTCATCGGAATGGTGAACGGCCGAACTGCTGGCTGTCTTTGCACCGGGCGGAAGCCTGGCTTTCTCTGCTTCCCTGATTCCCTGCCCCTATGTTTATCCCCATGCTTATACATTCCCCTGGATTCAAACCACCACTACTACATCGTTTTATAACTTTGTTTTTGTTTAATACATCATGAACAACTAGAACTAAGTTGTCATTACAAGTATTTTTACAAAAAGGTGCAAAACAAGGACGTATACAAGTCCTCTGAAAAAGCTTACCAGATCGATGACCCGAGTACGACTCAGGTCCACAGGCGATGCGAGGTCACTTGTCACTCTCTTCCCGCGCGCAGCGAGCTGCGCGAGCTGCGCGAGCTCGCCTCGCGCTCGTAGTTCTGGTAGCGTTCGCAGAAGTCGCAGAAATCCTGGAAGTCCAACGTGGAAAACCTGCAAGCGATCCGATCGCAGAAGTGAAGGGGTTGCGGCAACCACCGACGTTCCTGCTTTCGTCTGCGACGAATCAAGCCGGGAATGAGTGGATTCCAGGTTGGTCAAGGTTGGTCAATATGCCCGTCCCATGGGTCTGGTCGAGATGGTGTTGCAACCAACAGAGGTGGATAGTGACCTGAACTAGGACCCTACAGGGGTACCTATAGGATAGTCTATATATATATATATATCTATATAGGGTTCTTCAACCTCTGTTGGAAGTTGAGAAGTGATGAACCTTCGGGTCCCCCATGTGGGGCCCGCCATCAGGCGGGACCATCAACGATGGGCGCCATGTGGGATTAGAAAACAGCGACGGACCATGGCTTTTGATACAAAGAGGCCCTAGACCCCCAAGTACCTCCTCAGAAGGTATTTGGACCCTCCTGGCACCCACCCCAAACACCTTGTCAGAAGGTACCACTGGAGGCCATCCGGGAGGTCGACCAGGCGCCCCAAAAATCATTTAGAAGTCACAAAGCTCGGGGTGTCGCTGTCACATCCACAGCCCCGACGATGGGACTAGAAAAACCACCCAAGTGCGTGTGACTCCCGGATCATGAGATATACCGTTTATATACCAGCACCCTCACTGCCGGGTCACAACCTGGCAGAACTTGTGCTTTGAAGCCATACTGCGACTTGGTGCCACATCGTTGATTCACACGACGTGTCGGTCCACCACGCTCCACCACGTTCCTCGCGTGCCGTCCCCGCGCGCCGCGGAACGAAAAGCGCCGAGCCGCTCATTGGTGTCCTTCGAGATCGCCGTGGCCTGCGCTACGCGCTACGAGAGAGCCGCGACCGTTTTGTGGGAGTCAAGGACAACGGGGGAATCTTGGGATCCCAAACGCGACCGGGAAAGGCCCCTCTGAGGCCCTGGCACCACCCCCCATTTTTTGGGCAGTCCTATGTCCTATGGGTTCGTCCCATGGAGCGTCTGGGGATTGGAGAATGATGTGGATCCCAAGTGCAGAAACCAGATTTTGAGGGTCGAAATGATGAAAGAAGCCAAACAAAAACAGTAGCCTTTTCCGCCTGGGTGTCTTGGGAAAAGTGAGATGCTCCTGCCAGGTGCTTTCAATCACTCTTTCAATCCTATTAAATCATATTGACATCTATTGACCAAAATAGGTGTGGGCTCCGCAGATACAGGTCCAGTCTGACCCAGTCTGGTCATCGGGGCCCTCTCCCATCCAGTCCACCTCTCGCCGCCCTCCCCTCGCAAGGCACAGCGCCGCGCTGTTCCGCGCTGTTCCGCGCCGAAGGTCCGCGCCGAAGTCCGAACGAATTCCGCGTTCCGCACGGAGCGACGAACGCGTTCCTTCGGCGCGGACTCGCTCGAAGGATCCAAGCAGATGCCCAGTTGACCAGCACCCGACCCGGTTGGTTCGGACGTGACGACCGGACGAGTTGTGCTCGGACGTGGCGACCGGAAGGACGTGGCCGTCGCTGGTATTGGTGGATCACCTGGCTGGAACTCGTCTGCGCTTTGCACCGAACCGGTGCGTGTCAACGGCACTTGGCCGCTCAAATCGAAATCTCTGCTCAGCTAAGTTCACCAACGAGCTGCAATTCTCAAAGGCACCGTTCCCAATGTGGGTCACAGAGTTCGGGATGCGCAAGTTCACCAAAGAGAGGCAGTCTTTAAAGATGTCTATTTCCTTACATTCCATAGTGATTGCTTTTCATTCAGGGGTTGGTGTATTTTGATGTTAATTAAAGGCCCAGGGTTTATGAGCTTGTGCAAGACTCTTATCACATTACATTTTGGCCCAAGTGGGCACAATGAGCGGCGACAAACGAAGATTGGCGTGACTTAACTCAATGGAGTCATCGCTGGAAGTTATGATGATCATGAATCATGATTGAGCTGTAAGGCTTACTTACTATGTTCCACTGAGGTTTTTAGCCCAATGTGCGAAGGGCTCGAGTGCTTCTGGGCGGGAGGATTTGGAAAAGCCTGACAAAGGTCAGGAAGTTGTCTCAAGGGCTGCTTTTTTGGGACGGCTTTCTCAAAGAGAAAGTGAAACCCAAGAAGGCAATGACATCAAGTTCAACTTGAACAACCTGGTAGAGTTCAAAGATCAGGACGTGCTTCATTCAGCACACAACCCCCCTGCTCCAGAGAGTCGGAAGAGGCCCAATTACAATTCCAAAGAGAGGAGTAGCATGAGAATCCTGCCAGCGGACAGAAGACAGTACCTCAGATCTCCTATCAGCCTCACTTTTTCCTGTAAATTTTCTAACAGTCAGTCAGTCTTGGGTCCATTTTGTTGGCTGATCTCCGCCCAGGCAGCATGAGAATGGATCTTCGCGATCTCGGGTTGGACGGCTTGTTCAACAAGGGTGCAGGTGCAAAGGCGATTGTTTTCGTAAGTTTTCTCGCCTCTTTCGGGAACTGATGCAGTACCTAGTCATGTTCTGGAGCCTCAAGAAAACTCTTCAAGATGCTTATGTTTCTTGTCTGAAATAAACTTACTGGTTGGCTACATTCAAATTGAATGTTACTGGTTGCATTCCTGTGGGTTCTGTTGCAGGGTAGTTGACAACTAAGATTCACTGGGTTCATGGTCCTGCTGGACGGTCTTCTCGCAAGAACTGGTACTTGCTTGGGGTGCAAATCTCTGTCAAGTGCTTGGCCACTATTTTGGGAATCGGAGAAGATCGATTACAGCGGGCATCCACTGGCATGTTGGACAAGAGGTTCTCATGTTTTGGACTTGCAGCCTCGAATAAATCTAGTATGAGGTGATGATCAATTGCATTTTGTCAGACTGTTAGGCAGCTGTTAAGGCAAAGAGAACTTTAAGAGGCAAATTTCATGCATTTTCACGCTGTTAAGGCAAAGAAGAAAGCACCAGTGAAGCAAATGAGAACAGATATGTATTTGATGCGCTTATACCTTGATGCAGCAGGAATGCTGCCCAACAAGTTCCTCGTGAGCAAAAACCATTTTTCAGTCCTCCACCCTAAGGCCCTATGACTCCTGAGGGATGAACTGCACCTGCCCAGGTTTCAGAGGGCTGGGCGCAAGAGAGGCGCTGGTGGTGGGAGCCAAATGAGAGTTGCGTTTGAGACCGGCCATGACTCCAGCGATGATTGTGATAGCTCTGACAGCGAGAGAGTTGAAGACTTTTTTGCACCAAGTGGGGAACGTTTAGAAGACGATGAAGAGCTCCGTCTTCACTACTTGGGTTCACAGCAGTTCTTTTCCACGTGGTTTGCCCAGACTCCTTTGAGATTCACAGTCAGTAAAGTAACTTCTTTCCTTACATGTATGGCACAAGGTGGGTGGAGTCGAATGCCGCGCAGCACATCCAATCTCTTCCGGTTCGATTTCTTCCACCCGGAAGCGTGAAAATGCTCTACTACGAGTATTGTCAGAGAGAGCCGCACAGCGAAGTGTCGTGGACCAGTTGCGTTTAAGATGTGTGCTTGTGATGAATTGTTTTTGCACCTTATGTGATGACTGAGTTACGCCACCTTTTGGCGGCGTTATTCAACTTGCTGGCGAAACACGCTACGATTTTTACCACCCAGCACGCACGCAACGTGCGACACATGCTTAGACATGAAGGAGGCCTTTAAAGCAGCACGCGACTCTCGCCTATTGTTTCATGCAGTCAATGCCATGTTTAATGCGCGGTAATCTCTTTCTCTTCAGCCCCAGGATTCACAATCCAGGTTCGACACTGCGAGAGATTACAAATTGCACTTACAAGAAGTCTCACAGGACAGGAAGCTAGAGGAATATCTCCAGGCCAGGTTGACATGTTGCCAATTATTGAGTTTATGATCAGGGTTGTTGGGTTGTGGGGTCGAAGAATGTCTCTGGCAGGGACAGTCGCCATTGCAAAACGACAACGATATATTGAGTTTTGTATGGGAGATTTGGCTGCACGATTGTGTATGGGTTGTTCTGCTTCGATGGGTTGTTTTATGCTGTATTTTGCACAAGGATGGGATGGACCAGTCCAAATGGTGCCTGCCCAGAGACCGTATAGTACAATCCTCAAAGGAAGGATCCGTCTTTCAGCGCCCCAGGATGAAAGTGCATGGTGTTTGGAACCATGGCGTGTCCCTCAACCTTTTCCTGATCCACCCTGGCGTAGCTGCTGACAGCTCTTTGGTCATCGAAACATTCCAAAGGGTACTACAAGACACCGTCCAGACCTTCGAAAAATGTGGCCGCCCACTCCCAAGCGCATGCTGCATATGGGTTCCTTGGAACGTCCATTCGTCTGATAGCTGCGCCTGTGTCTTTCATTGTCTTTTGGTAGATTGTGAGCGCTCAGGCTGACAACACAGTTCGCGAAAACAAGAACAACCCGTGCCTGAAACATCTAGCCGCACTAGTTGGACGAGCAAAAATGCGATTCGCTGGGTATTTCTTCGGAAAGGTGGGCCACACCCACGGAGCATTAGGTTCTTGGAATATATATTAACGCATGGCAATGATTTGTGTATGTTTGTGTTGTACGATCCACAGTTCAGGCCTAAGCCCCTCAGCCTGCCTTCACTAAGACCAAGTCTATGGTCTATTAGCAAAGTCTTTCAGATATGTGGACTTGCTCTGTGACCCAATGGATGTGGTGTCGATTCCTGCCAGCAACAGTTCTGATGTTACCAAACAACGCCAAACAGCTTAGACCTCGGGGATAGAATTTGGTGAACCCAAGGAAGCTCAAGAAGATCTTGGACAGAATCAACATCAGACAATGGATTGGGCCCACAGCATCCATTAATGTCCAGTACTTGACATCTTGCCGTGATTGGAAGGGATGGTCCCTCAGCTCAACCTGTAGTGTTTGTGCAAACCCCCGTCCACGACAGCCCTCTCAGCCGCTCTCTTTTGCTCTGTCTTGATGAGGTATGAGCAGGTTCCGGTGACGTACAAGGGAGGCCTCAAAACGGATTCAACGGGTCTTCATGGGTTTTTATTCCTCGCCAGGAGAGGCAGGGGAACATGTATTGATATGTAATGATGACCTCGTGGTGATATGTAATGACTAGTGAGCTAATTTGCTGGCTAATGCCCTGCAGATGTCCCTCGGAATCTGCGAATCGAGTCTGACGACAAAAGGGGTGCTCTTCAATCGCATGAAATGGATGTAATTTGCATGGTGAAGAAGAATGCTGCTGATGATGGCCTAGCACAGGACACTGCACTGTAGATCTCTCACGCTACTCTGTTTTGCACTGAACTTAGTGACTTGCAGCAAACCAAATGCAATCAGGAAGCTTTGCTGGCGATGCCCTATCAGCTGATGGACCGGATTCTCCATGGAGGGCCGACAGTGCCCAGACCTTTGCGTCCAGTGAAGAGGGTGAAACTTCAAGAATATTTAGATCTTGCCAAAGTCTTAGTTACACGCTTCCCTCGGGATTCCAGCGGAAGAGCAGCGGAATTCTTGGTGGATTTGGCCCGGAACCATGACCCAGGCCCATTGGTTCCCTTACCATGGTTTGAAAGTTTGGGGGATCGGGATGAGATTGTCTTGGGAAACCCAACAGTCCTTGCCCGAGTGGCTCCAACAATGAGATTCCAAGCGGAGTTTCAGTTGCCTCGCCGTGGGTAAATCTTTGTTGAGTGGAAAAAGGTTGGACCACACTGTCACTGAAAGCAAGATGAAGCACTTGGCACCAAAGTCCCAGTGACAGGATTTGTCAGTCAGAATCTTCAACACCTTGGAAGGTTCACAGCCTTTTCCGAGGGGGGGTCCTCAGTAACGCATGTCGCATCCTGCCCGTGGAAATGACAAGATCAGGCCAGGACTGGTCCCTTCCGACAAATGGATTTTGTTGGGATACGCTCACCACCCACTGGCAGGCGGCAGAACGCTCAGGCTCCAACCTTATTGCAGTGTTCCAATGCCTCTCACAAACATCCAAACGACACTTGTCTTTCAGGACCCGATCGTCAGCTTTGAGGACTACCAATCTCAGGTGTATGTGATCGATGACTCATTCCCTGACACTTTCCGTGATACACAGGCCAAGGCTCACTCGTACACAGGGCTAATGACTTCACCCAGAATGACCGCCAGGTTGACACCCCGGAGCTCTTTCCTACTATCTCAAGTGCACATGAAACAGAAGAACAGGTGGGGCGCTCACGACTTCCCTCCTCTAAGAGTGTTCCTGTTGGGCTCCTAACTTGCACCAGGTCAGCATCGACTTCGACTCCGTCGTCGTATTGGATCAGCTGAGCTCTTCAGAGGCTAGAATATATAGTTTGCAACAGAGTTATTCAACATAGTTTGCAGTTCACGCGAGTTGAACATAATTGAACCATATTGAACCTATTCTCGAGCGCCAGGACAATGCTATGTCCCACAAGGTCAAACACTCAGCCGGCCTGATTGCAAGTCATCGTTGCATAGTAGCACTGCGCCTCGCCGCATAGCAAGCCAGCTCAAGTAAAAGCTAAGTATTGTTTTAGAGGGTCCAGTGAAAGGTTTTAGGCAGCTTGCTGTCAGGCTGGTGGAAAGAAAAGGCATCTCTTGGATGAGGCCTATATAATATGTCTTACTCGTCGCTTTTGTTGCCTAACAACATTGTGAAATGATTGGAAAATGAAAGTGAACCAAGAGCGTTGACACCAAATACCATTGGACTAGCCTGTAACTTGTGTCTGTGAACCTGCTTCGTTGCGCAGGACAGCAATGGATCGAAGCGCTTCCGTCAGGAAGGCTGAGTCGACCGCTTGATATGCAATTCAAATTAAATAGGTTCAGTCCACTCTGGGCTAAGTAAATACTTGGGGAGGAGGGATCTCTCATTGAGTGATTGCACTCACTGAATTGAAAGGAAAATGACGCAACCCAGCTTTGTGAAGCATGATTCTCAGCATGCTGCGGTTCACCTGCTACATTGAGTTAACCTTTATCTTTCTCTGTTGTGCAGGCCCGAACCGGTAGTTTTCAGGGTGGCCAGGTATTCCTAATGCCATGTCTCAAGCTCAAAGATGCTGTTCGTGCACTTACCAAGAAGAGTGACGATTTGAGGACTGGATACTAGTTTAATGCGATGCAGCATGACACCTTGTTTTTTGAAGGCAATCAAACTTTGGACATTGAAGGACAAATGGGGGTACTCCTACTATTAGGAAGACACACTTGAAAAGGCACTGACTGACTGACGAGTTTTGTTACTCTTGAGTCTTGAGCTTCTTACTGTAAATCAGTGACCTCTAACTGGCTACTTCTCTTGATGCAGGCAACCCAAGGAAAAGTACTACCCGAAGACCACAGTGCCGGCCCCTGGGCCTTCACACCCGGCTGGCTTTGCCTCTTTAAGTGAAGCTTTTTCTTGGCCGGATTTGTTCCTGAAGCGCTTGGGGCAGCGACTGGGTAACGAGTTTTTGGCTAAGCGTTTGTGGACCTGGTCGTGGACTTTTTCATCTGCATTTAGTGGGATTGGTGCTCCAGAATCAGCCCGGGTCTAAGTCCCTTAAAAAGTCTTCCACACTGACTGCCTAAAGTTCTCTTTAAATTGAATGGCGACTCCCACGCTTCAACATGTGTTGAACGGCAAGCTGTCAGGCAGTGATGAGCCTGCAGTCGGCGGCCAAACACTTTCTGGCCGTTCATTTGCCTCAGAAAGAGCCAAGGGCAGTTCCACATGTCTTGCATGAATTCACTTGTGAGATTGATCCTAGCTGCCAAAAGGTTCTATGTCAGGCTTATGGTAGTCCTTGCAATGTGGCGGACATCACCAAGTTCGATTCAACCGCAGAGAAGCAGTATTGCACGACACACTCCAAATATTGCAGAGTCAGAAAGCACCACTTGAAGAAAAAAAGACTCTTCGAATCATAATCAGTTATCTATTTGTTTTGGGGGTTGCTTTGGATGCTAGGTTCAATATCAACTGAGTCCACCTCACCTCAACGGCCCAAGGAATCCACGTCAATGTGGCAGGAACTGGCCTCAGTGACAAAGCTTGTGCCAAAGCTTCAGGTAATTTGTCCTTCATGTCGTTTGTCCTTCATGTCAATTGACGGTGGCCGCAAACAACTGTGAGGACCGGTTTGTGTGAGCTTCAGCAAAATGGGTAAGCAACGCCATCAAGCTGACCCAGTGTTTTCCACCCACCGGGCATTCTACAAGGAGATCCCCAGAACGGCAGATGTCATGTTGGTGGAGAATGTTCCGGAGTATGGGACTGAAGTAGCTCGTGACCATCTACCCAAACACTGGGACTTCCGAAGCGTGACTATCGACCCAAGACATCTAGGTGTACCTGCTGGGAGAACACGCATCTGGATTTTGGCATGGGATACCAAAAGGGTCCAGTGGCGCGAGGGAGGCATTTCCATCGAAGAGGTCATGCACATACTGGGTGCCAGGGCTGTTGGAAAGGCTGGCGATTTCTTCTGGAGGAAGTTGCCCGCAGCAGTCTTGACTCATGCCCAGGTACCCCAGCTCAGTCAAGTAATTTGAGGGTTGAGAATAATTATGGAACCCAGTCCCAGTCTCTCTTGATTTGTTTGGCTTTCTTCTCAGGCACGCAATCTAAGCGATTATGAGAAGCTCAAGGGCTGGGTGCAATATCCGGACCTTACCCAGTACTGTGCCAACGAGCGGGGACGGGGTGAACTGCAAGATGGGTCCCTCCAGACGCTGACAACCAACAGCTCACTCATATACTCCAAGGATGGGTCCTGTGAGTTTGATTTCCTTTCAAGTTTTGTTTCTCACTCCACCTCACTGAGTAGCAAACCAATCTCGACCAACTGCGTCGCCAGGCACACAAAAGGTTCCTGTCCGCGCAAGAGATGGTCGCAACGCACATATTGCCGACTTGCTCCGAGCATGCCAGGAAATGTAAGGCTCCAATCGTGGAGCTTGAACATATGCCGGAAAGTCATGCTTGCCGAATGGCAGGCAACACAATGTCAGTTCCTTGTGTGGCGGCTCTTTTGTTGACCGCCATTATCAACTTAAAGTTGGTCTGAAGTGAAATTCAATAGATGAACCATGCACTCAAGAATGATTGTTTGTTTGGTAATTGGCCTTGAGGCTTGACGTGTAAATGAACGTGTGACATGCCAAAACATGAGACCGCCCTGCTTTATTGCCAGCTACTGGTAGACTAAGAGCTTGCTGAAACTGAAACTGCTCTAATTGCAAAGTATTGAATTGAACAATGAGAAGTGAACAATTACTTTTTGATGTCTTGTTCAAGGAGTTTGGATGAGAGGCCATCCCGGCCGCCAGTCCTGTAGCTCCACCGATGGGCAAAAGGCCCTGTGCTTCAGCCTCGGCTGACCAGAAATCCTCGAAAGAACTTAAAGCAAGTAGTCCATGGGCCGGGAAAATCTACAATGATGCGAAGAAACTAGGCTGAAGGTGGGGAGGATGAACCCTTGGTTACCAGTCATCTTCAAAGGGGTTTGGGTGAACAGGTTTCCGACATCCCGTTTCAAATGAACTTGATGCCTTCGCCTTCAGGAACACCGTTGTCGGGGAGGATCCACATCCAGTGGAATGGCTACTGGATGCTTGGAAACAGGACCTCCTGGAACCCATGCTGACGTGGCTTCAGGAACAAGACTCCAGCTTTCCAGATCCCAGACGTTTCAAATTTCCAGCTCTTTGGCAGTCGTAGAGTCTGAGTGGCCAACTTAAGTAAGCCTACGATGTACAGAAACTTAGTTGAACGACTTCTGTCTGAGGCTGCAAGCGATGAGCTCGTCAGCATTCCTTTGTTGGCGTTTCTCTACACACGTCCCGTGGACGGCTTGCCTCTTCTTCACAGCTGGCTAGCTACAGGGAAAGACATTTGGTTTCGGGGGTATGAATCGTGGAGAGAGATTGTCGAAGTACAACCAGCTGCTGAAAGCGACCCGGATACACCCTACAGTTTTGGTTCGGTGGGCCTTGTCAAAGGAATGGGCAGAATCTCTATGCTGCTATTTGGCCTCCTCTGGACCTACTTGAAACTCCGAGACAGCATGACTGAAGAGATGCAAATTGACTTCATAAGGCACTCCCCGGCACTCCCCCTGATCAAAAGGGTCGCCCTGGGGAGTCTCAGATTTCACAACCTCTCAGGGTGATGGTTTCACTGAAACCGTCGTCCTGGAACAGGGTTCCCAAGTACAAAACTGTGTTCCCAAAGTATCAAACTTATTCCCCAAAGTATCAACAGTGCATCCCAAAGTATCAAACTTGAACCCCATAGTATCAAACGTGGACCCCATAGTATCACACCAGGCCCCAAAGCATCAGGTCCAGGGTGATGGTTTCACCGAAACCGTCGTCCTGGCAGGTCCTCAGTTTGCGACCCCCTCAGGGTGACCCTTTTGATGTTTGGGATGCTCTGGGGTCCCTGGCACGCTCCTGGGCAGGTGGTTGGATTCCGTCAAGTTCATCAAGTCGAAGTTCATAGTTGCCTCACATAGCGACTGCTTGTGGAGGAGGCTGGCGGTGCATGAGCAGCAATCTGAGCGGGAGAAAAAGAATATCCTACAGAAGGTTCTCATATTCAAGTCAAGGGCGACAGAGATCATGGCGAAGGACTAGCTTCAAGGGATCTAGCTGGTTCACGAGTTTCAATAAGCTCACCGACATGTAAATCCCAGCAGGTTGCCATGTTTGATCATGCTTGAACCCCCTGGTCAAGGAGCCTGCAGAATTTGGTGGCAAAGTGAAAGAAGCCTTCTTCAAAGCCATCAGTGAGTACAACTCTTACGAGATGATTGCACACTCAAAGCGTTTTCAAATCGATTCCAACGCGGCGTTCTACTTGTATGGCTTTTGCGAAGCTTGCCTAGTATTTACAGTAAAGTTCAATGTTTTCATTTGATCCCGTTCCCTTTACCCCTGGCCCTCCCTTTCTGTCTTAGGGCTCACCTTCTTCAAACCAATCCGTTGAACTCGAAGCCTGCTGAAGCAAGGCTGGCGTTGGCAATGACTCCTGGGAGCTGATCGAGCAGCACTTGCACATGTACAAATTTGAGCATTCAGGCTTGAGAGTGGAGGTAGTGGGTTCAGGCTTATGATATCTTATTTATATAATAAATAATAAGTTAAACGGCTGTACTACATGGAAACCAACCATACTTTGAACATCATCCTAGTCATGCGGCTAGAAAGGCATGTTTCTACATGATTGCTCCGGCCCTGCAGCCTTCACAAACCAGTTGCTCCTGGACATTCGCTGGTTGGTTGGTGGGATGAGCCGGGACCCAAATTCCAAGAAGAGTCACATCTGGACCGAGCTGCTCCGGGTCACCCCTGAAAAGCAATGTGTCTTTGTACAACGGGTCCTGTTTTTGCACGATCTTGCAAGCCGCCGCGGAGCGCGATCAGCATCATCGAGGTTGAACATACAAGAGTGGGGGATTGAATGTGAGCGGATGATTTTCCTCAGTTCCATGGTGCTGCACATGTCAGTAGTCACTGATGATCACGGGGGCCGCATCTTTTCTGATGAAGTTGTGCGCTCCATTGTACTGCGCTGCGTTGAGGGGTGGCTCGGAACGTTTAACTTGTTTTTTCTTTGAAGTCATAATGTTTGATAACCAAAAAAGCGCTACTTAGATGAGTTCTTAGGTGTCTTTTTGTACCTTCCACCGGGCGGGGTCACCCTGTAAGGGACTACAACTCTGAAGCAGAGGACTACTTGACTTGCATGGACCCACACTTCAAGATAGAAGACACGAGCATGTGGAAAGAGCATGCACCAAAGCCCACAGAGACCGTGGCCACCAAAGTGGCGGCAGCGGATTCAGAGGTCGACAACCTCACAAAGGAGTCTCGCAAAGCTCAGTTTGATGCAGACTGCATTGCTTTAGCCAGGGATTGTGCACAAATTGGACAGCTTGTCAAGGAAGTGAACAAGTGCGATCAAACTGCTCGGACAGAGCGTGTCCTACACTTGCGGCACCAGAATACCATCGGAGCTGGGTTGGTTTCGGAATATATGGCCACCAACATGGCTCTTGGCAGCGGCAGCGTGAAGGACCAGCAATCCTTGATGGACAGGGCCCGGTGTTTGGGGAAAACTCGGTTATACAGTTTGTTTGCAATCAAATGTATACCTGACTTGGCATGTTTAAACCTTGTGCCCTGCAGTTCCTGTCAAGATTTCCGGACACACCCACCATCATCTATGCTGATCTGATGAAATGCGGAAGATGCAGCAATCAAGAGCTGAACGAATTTTCAGAATTGCTCAGCGCTGGTTTGGCCAAACGGCCCCATGCATCAGTGGCAATTGTGGTGGCTCCATGGCTATGCTCCGAGAAGGTGTGTAATGGCTACAGAGGAGAGTTGAGGCCAGGTTTGCAAAAAATGGTTGCTTTCAACGAAACATTTAAGCTCGATAAGTTACTTTCAACATTTAACTTTTAAGTTCCCTAGAAGTTACTTTTAAGTTCAACATTTTACTTTTAAGTTACTTTCAACATTTTTCTCCAACGTCGGTCCAACGCTACACATGCCTGCTCAGACGCTGGGAAGACAAATTTGATGCCCGTGGCCTCTACTCGGAGTCAATGGCGGTGAGGTGCCAGCAGCCACCCCGCGCACGGAAAGTTCCACTATACTTTAATGGCTGGTTGCTGTTCGATGATTCCTGTGTCAAAAGTGAGGATGGCAACTGGTTCTTGGCTTGCCAACTTTTGCAAGACAGGACTGGTGCAATCTTGAACAGTTTTGTGACAGGTTTCTCTGTCAAGAAAAAACACCCACTGTATGGTAGACTGACACTCATTCATTAATTAATTAATTCAGTCATTCATTCATTCATTCTTTCATTCATCATTAACGTTCATGACAGAGTTTATCCCGTCTCCCACATGCAGCCCACAGTCCTTGGTCAGGGCGACAAGAGCGGAGTGTCCCTGGCAAGCGGAAGCATCGTACATTGTCCCAGTGGCAAGCAAGGATGCCATTCCGCATGCGTCAGAGGGACATAGGCAAGGGTGACTCTCAAAATCATGTGATATCCTGTGACTGTTTTGAACAAGATTCAATACCGCAAGTCATGAGTCAACTTAGGAGTAGAATTACAGCTTATTCCAAAAGAACGTTCTTCGCCTGATGGTCCAGGAGTCTATCAGATGTCCAAGAAAGTGCTCAGTTTTTGGTGCAAGATGTGATGGTGCGAAGCTTGCTAGAGTCTGTTTTGGCACGAGCTCAGATCCCTGAGAACACCAATACGATTGCGTTGGTGAATCTGACACCGTACGATGGGATGGTGGAACGTGCAACCAGGAAGTGGAAGGAGATTTCAGTTGATTCACCTTTCCATTTCAAGACCCTGAGCCTCACCAAAAACTTGGGCATCTGCGAGTTTGTCGAGAAGGCACTAGCTCTTGAGCTGATGGAGGACAGGGGGTCTATACCACAACGTGCTAAACTTGATTGAAATTTCTTTGAAGGGTTCATCTGACTGTTTGAAGGGTTCATCTGTGGATCACAAACCTTGCAACTGCTACTGTCCTAGGAGTGGAAGAGCGGATCGCCTACCTTTGGGAAGTGCAGACCCTATGAGCCTAGGCCACCACCAACTCCTGCAAATCAGAAGATCGATCTGGCCAATTTCCCGGTCCGCCTTGTGAAGATTGAGTATGACTTGGCACCTGGGAAGAAGGGGTGGCAGCAGTACAAGGTATCAATCCCCCCAGCCGTCAGGGGTAGATATGTGGACGACATCGTGTACCGCAATGAATGGGCAGAACTCCTCAAAGACTTTGACAAGCAGTTCTTTGGTCTGTAAGAGCCTTTCAATGCCTTTCACCTTCAACTTTTTTACTCGATGCGTCGTTCCATGGTCAAACTGTTAAACAGTTTTCAAAAGCACTTCAACTCACCGCCCCAAGCCCAATCATGCCCATTCATGCCCCATGCCTCTCCATCAGGTTTGGAGTGGCTGCAGGTCCCGAAGAGGCCTTGGTTCCAGCACCATCGGAACCGGAGAGTGAACCGCTTCCCCCATGGACCGAGCCGGAATCATTGGACCAGCTCTTGGACGCATACATCGTGGAAGCAAAGATGGCTGGACGGATTGGAGGGACATCACTGTATTTGATGCCAGTGAAACGGAGAGACGGAAGCGTCACGGAAATCATCGATGGGCAAAAATGGAAGCTCTTCCTAGCTCCTAGACTCATTTGTTGAACTCATTTGCACAAACACATCTACGACATACGAGCCTATCACCTCCATGTGTTTTGAACTTGTCACTCCCCGCCAATTTATGAGGTTGCCCATGGAGAGGTGGAGCTGGGAACGCTGGACTACCAAATCGCCCATGGACCTAGCAAGTTCCTGAATCCAGACAAGTATCAGAAGATGAAACTACAAGAAAAACATAGGACACCTGACATGTTTGTTCAATCTGTCTTCCATCAGCATTTCGAACTGTTTATCGATCATGTCGCTCTGCTTTAGATCAGACTTGGATCTGCCAATCAGCAGCTGGCCCAAACCTGAAGAGACTGTGGGATATAGATAGCTAACTTAAGTTGTTGCAATCATCCTCATGACGAGCAAGTTGGAATCCCTACTTGCCTCACATGGCTTTTCAGAGGCAGGAGAATGTGAACAAGTTATGATGCCTAAGGGGATTTCCAGTCTCTAGTCTCACTTCTTTTGCAGGACTTCCAGAAGATGGCTGATGAGAGTCCATCCACGCTCCTGACCCCCTCATCCAGACCAGCCGAAGTCTCAAACCATATTTGTTTTAAAGTCTCTTATATTGTAAACCCCTGCCACTGCTGAGGTCTTGTTCACGCCTCCAAACGTGTCTACTGAGAAAGCCTTGAAGGCAAGAAGCATAATTATTTGTTGAACAAAAAATATGATCGTCTTCTTTGAACTTTTGGCCAAAGCACCAGTGACCCTACCCATCATCCACATATCAATCGCCTGGAAAGGAAGAAGTGAAGGGCAGTGGAACAGAACCAAGGGAAGGCTTGAAGAAAGACCATGAGAAGAAAGACCATGAGGAGGAATACCGTGCGGCGAAAAACAAGTTGAGCGACCAGAAGAAGCAAGACCAGGACGAACAATACCAAGAGGAGAAAAAGCAGGAGAAGAAAGACCTGGAGAAGAAAGTGGAGAATGTTAGCACTCAGGAACCTGAAACTCAGGAAGAAGATACTCAGGAAGAAGATACTCAGGAAGCCGACAGCCAGGATGACGACAGCGCGAAGAAGAAGATGCCACCACCTGGAGGTGTTCCGATGAGCCTTCTGGGGAGCAATGAAATCAACAATCCGATGATGAGCAATGAAAAGCGTGAGAGCCTCCTGGGATCTATTGATGAAGCCAAGAAGGAAAGCAAAGCAGCAAAGAAGAAAGAGAAGGCGGATGCCAAAGCGGCCAAAGAAGACACCAAGAAAGTCAACAAAGCTGGGAAGACAAAAGGAAAAGGGAAAGGGAAAGGGAAAGCAAAAAGCAAGAAGTCAAAGAAAGCTGATGAAGTATCAAACTCTTTGGATTCTGAGGAGCCATTGTCGGAAGAGTATGAAGACTTGCCCGAGAGTTCAGGAGATGAAGTGGAAGCTTCACAGAAACCAAAGGAGAATACGACAGGCAGGCAGGGAAAGAAGAAGCAGGCTCAAGAGGAGATGGAGAAGACAAGGAACGCCAAAGAGCAGGAGCCAAAGAAGAAAGATCAGAAGCCAAAGAAGAAAGATCAGGAGGAAAAGAATGAAGAGCAGAAAAAAAAGGGTCGAGGGAGACACGACCAAAACAAAATGGAGCTCACAGGTCCTGCTGCTCGTGCAGCTTTTATCAAACGCGCTGTCAGTGGCAAACCGAATACCGTCAAGGAGCCCGTTGTCAAAGCCCTTGAGCCAGAGTTCAGTGAGGAAAAGGATGACGATGATCAGAAGGATGATGAGACACTGGCAAAGGATGCAAAGAAGGGTCCGAAGGAGATCAAGCAGGAAAGAATTGAGAACTTGGAGGATATCAAAAAGGAAGATGTGGCACGACAAAAGGAGATTGAGATTGAGGAAGAGAAAGCACAGAAGAGGTTAAGGAGAGCAAAAGAGTTCGAGGAATCGTTGAGGAGTAAGGTGAGCAAAAGAAAAGCTGAATCAGGTGAAGAAACAGGCAGTCGCGATGACAGCAAGAAAGATGATGCAAGTGAAGTGAAGGAGACGACACAGAAGAAGAAACGCAAGGAGGTCAAGAAAAACGAAGACCATGACAATGGAAAAGGTCGAGATGGTGACCGTGCAGGGAAGGACAAGAATACAAACAAAAATCAACAAGGAGACAACGACGCGATGCACAAGGAGGAAGGACTGGGCGGAGGACAACCAGCTTCTGAAGAGCAGAAGATGAACACAAAAGAGAAGAAACATGAAGAAGCCTTGAAGAGCGATGATTGTGAGGAGAAGGAGACAGGAGGAAAGGAAAACAAAGAGCAGGAGGACAAAAGGCTCCCAACAAAGAAGAGCAGGAGCAAAGGAGGGCATGGCAACAAGACAAAAGGTGATGAGCAGCTGGCAAAGGAGCATGGCGCTGATGACAACAACGATGGCGCTGACGACCACAAGGATGGTGCTGATGGCAACAAGGAAACCAGCGAGAAGGCAACGGCTGGTAAGACAAGAAGGAGACATCAGAAGCGAAGAATCCAGGAGGAAGACAATCAGAAGGAAGAGAAGCAGGAGGAAGACAAGGACACAACAAGTGAAGCTAAGGCAAAAAAGGCAAGGCTACTCTGTCACTTTATCCTCAATGTTTGAGCCCTTTACTTTTTGCAGGCCAAACCTGGATGCGCAGGGCGTGTTGGGCTACGTGACACATACTGGAACCACTTGGAGACGACCAAGGAACGCTTGCGAAAAGAGTATCCGGAGAAATCAAAACTTGAGATCCTTCGGATGGCGCAAGCTTTGCCATGACCCTAGTATCTAACCCTAGTACCTAACCCTAGTAGCTAACCCTAGTATCTAACCATATGCAAAGCAATAGCTCTCCCTTGGTGCCCTAAGGTGGAAGAACCATCCTGACAGGGTGGCAGCCTTCAAGTCAATGCCTCATCATGAGCTTTCCCGGCGTCGATTGGTTCCACCCCTTCGCAAGTCTGAGAAATCAGACGAGAAGGAGCAGGAAGTGGAGCAAAAGCTTCCATCTCCTGCGCAGGATGCTGCTGCTTCCAAGGGTTCTGAGAACAAAGGTTCTGAGAACAAGGGTTCTGAGAACAACGACTCTGAGAACGGGAGTTCTGAGAGCGAGGGCCTTGAGAATCAGGGTTCTGAAAACGAGTCAAATGAAGACTAGTCTGATTTTGTTTGCAGCGTGTTTCAAAGGCTGATGGGATTCTACAAGACCCAGGTTCCCAATCCAATTCAGTCTAGCTCCAAAGAATTATAGGGTGATCGTTCATCGTTTTGGATTCCTTTGCTTTTGGTTCTGGGTCTTGTGACTGGTAGGGGCACCCTTACCCACAATCTTTAGCTCGGGGGAAAGAGCATCACCGACAAGGCCGACGAGAAAAATGTATTCAGCTGGATGTGAAGTTTGCTCCATGCCACGGAATCTGTAAGCCACGGCTAGCCTACCTCCATTGAACCCTTTGCCCCTTAAAACCCCTTGCACTCATTTGCCTTCATTGCATGGCAGGTGAGCTCGCAAGGACCTGCTTGATTACTTGGACAAACGACCAGTCACATGTAGTGCTTGAGATTTCTGATGAGAAGTCCAAGGGGACTTCGGACTCCGAGCGCTGCTCGTGGCGCGCACTGTTCCATGAGTTCGAAGATCAAGGAATCACCGACGCCACAATCAACAGCCACGAGATGAAGGCCCCAGTAGCCGGTGGAGGCAAGAGGTTGTTTTCAGCCTAGTAGTTACTACAAGGTCTTTGACAGTCTAAAGTAAGATTTGACTGCAGGTGGATCCCAGTATATCATCAAGCCGAAGCCAAATCCACAGATTTTTGCCTATAGCGCGGTGTCGGGCTACAAGTATACAAACGTCGCCTCTGCATTCACATTCCCTGACCCTGGGCTAGATACCATGTTTCTGTTTCGGCATTCTTCCCAGTTTTTTGTCTCGGCCGTCCTTACCCACTTCTCCATTGCCATCACTGCCATAGCACTGCCAAGGAACTGGAAGCTAGCAGAGCTCTAGAGAAAGTATGGCGAGTTTGTTACCGCAAAGAAGCAAGTGATTCTAGTCTGCATGCTTGCAGGTTGTTTTGGAATGTCTTGGAGTGAGCCCGTTTCTGAACATTCCAATGCTTGTTCTGAGTTTGGTCTTTCTCTCAGGAAGTGTCGCCAAGATCCTTGGATGGATTTTCCTGGATTTTCTACCTAACTGCCATGCATTCATTCTGAAGGAGCAAGGGATCTTAGCATGTGCCCATCTCCTACCTAAGGAAAACCACTGTGGTTTCTTCGATCTGAATTGAAGCTCTCACCAAACCAGGTGGTGAGACTCGTTTGATAAATTTTGAGCACAAGCACAATCAACCGGACAGCGGATGAAAAAAGGTGCGTGGTGGGGAGTTAGTGGCGAGTGAAAGTGACCCGAGAAACCAAACAAAAAAATACATTAAAAAAGGCTAACTCCTGAATGTTTTGAGTTAACTCCTGATTGCAGCGAAATTGACTTAAAGGCAAAATCTCCGATGTGGGTCACAGAGTCCGGGATGGTCAAGTCAACCAAAGAGCGGCAATCCTCAAAGGCAAAATCTCCGATGTGGGTCACAGAGTCCGGGATGGTCAAGTTCACCAAAGAGAGGCAAGCATAAAAGGCTACAATCCCAATGTGCATAACTGAATTCGGGATGGTCAAGTCAGTCAAAGAGTGGCAACCTGCAAAGGTATATTGCCCAATGTGAGTCACTGAGCTTGGAATGGTGCAGTGTGACAAAGAGCTGCAATTCTCAAAGGCACCCTTCCCAATGTGGGTCACAGAGTTCGGGATGTGCAAGTTCACCAAAGAGAGGCAGTTTTTAAAGGCAAAAAGCCCAATGTGGGTCACAGAGTCCGGGATGGTCAAGTCAACCAAAGAGCGGCAATCCTCAAAGGCAAAATCTCCGATGTGGGTCACAGAGTCCGGGATGGTCAAGTTCACCAAAGAGAGGCAAGCATAAAAGGCTGCCCCAATGTGCATAACTGAATTCGGGATGGTCAAGTCAGTCAAAGAGCGGCAACCTGCAAAGGTATATTGCCCAATGTGAGTCACTGAGCTTGGAATGGTGCAGTGTGACAAAGAGCTGCAATATTGAAAGGCAAAATGGCCAATGTGGGTCACTGAGTTTGGGATGGTCAAGTTTGCCAAAGATGTGCAATTAGCAAAGGCATCGTTCTCAATGTGTGTCACTGAGTCTGGAATGGTCAAGTTTGCCAAAGAGTTGCAACCCTCAAAGGCATTATCTCCGATGTGGGTCACCGAGTCCGGGATGGTCAAGTCAGTCACAGAGTGGCAACCTGCAAAGGTACATCGCCCAATGCGGGTCACAGTGTCCGGGATGGTCAAGTTTGACAAAGAGCTGCACTTTTGAAAGGCACCATCCCCAATGTGGGTCACCGAGTTCGGGATGGTCAAGTTCCCCAAAGAGGTGCAACCCTCAAAGGCACCCCTCCCAATGTGGGTCACTGAGTTTGGGATCGTCAAGTTTGCCAAAGAGCTGCAATATTGAAAGGCACAATTGCCAATGTGGGTCACAGAGTTTGGGATGGTCAAGCTTGCCAAAGAGGTGCAACCACCAAAGGCATCCACTCCAATGTGGGTGACTGAGTCTGGGATCGTCAAGCTCGCCAAAGAGGTGCAACCACCAAAGGCAAGATTACCAATGTGGGTCACCGAGTCCGGGATGGTCAAGTTCACCAAAGAGCTGCAATGTGCAAAGGCACCAGGCCCGATGTGAGTCACGGAGTCCGGGATGGTCACTTTGGCCAATGTGCTGCAACTGTCAAAAGCGCATTCACAAATCTGTGCTTCAGTGTCTGGTATTTCAACCACAAGCAGCAGTTCGGAGTCAACAATGCCGCCAAGACGGGCGATCACTTCTTTGTTGGAGCATATCACTTTGTTTGGTTTGAAGACAACACCCACAACTGCATCTTCAGCCATTCGAGCGTTCAATACCTTAGCATCATTGGCCAGCAATTGGTTGTCTCCCACAATGATCTCTACACTTGTAGTGCGGCGAGTGAGTTCGTCCCACACCTGCCCCTTCTTGATCTGCTCCTTAAGCGCCCGGCCAGTCATCCCTGGTGTGACTTCAAGAACCATGACTTCACCACTCGGCTGCCACGCTGAAATTGTCTTCGCCATGTCTACAAAGACCTTGACGCGGATTCTTGCTATTTAGTTTCATTTTGGTCTGCTGCCTGTTTGCTGTTTCCTGGCCCTGATGCAAAATGGCGCGGATGCCAAATCCTTCACGTGACTTGGCTTTGCTGTTGTCGTAGTTTCTGCGTTTTTCCCAAAACATCGCACTCAAAAGATCAGTGATCGGGGTGATGGCATGCGACGACTTTGACATCTTCAAAAACATTGACGTGCAAAGGTTTCGACCACCTGTTGGACAATGATTCTGGTCAGCTTCCCTAACCAATGATTTAGGGACACGGCTTTGAGCCAAAACCATGTGGAAAAGCTTTGGGTGTCGAACGGACAACGGGCACCATAAATTACAAGAATTGTGCATCATGAATCATGAAGCCAAAAAAAGTGCGAACCAAGAGCAAGAGCAAACTGCAAGAGAGGTCGGTGTCTTTGTAAAATGCATCCCAATGGACTCGATCTACAGAAACTCTCTACAGCATGGGTGTTGGAAAAAACCATTAAAAACTCAGCACTTACATGCACTTACTATATAATGAGTGGTTGGGTCTCCAAACAGCCTGGGCCTGTTGGAGGGTCTTAGTATATAAATGAGGATAGCAGGATGGTATTGACAAGGATCTCACAAAGGGAGGCCCCTCCATGGCCCATCGACTCGTTTCCTTGGGAGGAATATGGAGGAATTCAAAGCAAGCCTCTGACTGCAGGCGGTACTCCTTCTTCAGTTGTTGCTTCGTTGGATGTTTTGGCAGAGCGGTGCATTACGCGGCAAGTGAAGGCCTATAGCGAACGACTTAGCAATCGTTTTCTTGAAAACTGCCTGACGTGCCTCGCTCAAGACCAAAACCATACTTGGATCCCAAATCAGCCAAACTCCCCCGGACGAGCCGGGGAGGTACCTCTCCATTTCCATCCCTTTCCCCACGATCGGATCGCAGCTCGAGCTCGCTCGCTGCTTGCTCCGGCATGACCCGCCTTGTCCTCAGAGACGGGCACATAACAGAGATGTGTGAGAACCTCCGGCAGAACCCGAGCCGCCGATCGAGCCGAACGACCGAGTGGTCAGTGGCCGGGGCTTCTGGGCACTCTGTCGTGATTTTCCTTGGGATCCATCATCCTGGTTCTGCACAGTCCTGCACACTCCATCAATCTGGCTGCTATTTCTCGAAGAAACCATGTTTGGAGTGCTAAGAAGGATGTGCCAGTTCGGCCCGACAAAACATCTACATCATGTTGTTCAACCACATGTCCAGCCTATAATTGAATGTGAATTTCTTCCACCATTTCGAAAGTATATCAGGACGCTTAATGGATACCCCGAATCACCTCCCTAAGTGGGTTGAGGTCTCTGTCGTTTTCGGTGCAGATGAAGAACGGAGGCAGCAGCCCAGGCGACCCATTCCAGGACGGTCCCAAACGTCCCGTCCACGTGCAGTCGGCCGGTGTTTTTCCCGTTTGGGGGAGCTCCTGTCCCACATCCTCAGAAGGATTCAGAAGGTATATGAGTTAAACCCCCCAAAACTACCCACCGTCCCACCTTCGAACCCGCAGGGTGGTGCCTACCGGGGCCTTTCTGGGGTGGCATCTATGGCAGTCCCAGACAGGACGCGTCTGGGTCATAGCTAGCTGGGGGAAAATCCTAGGGATCCACAGAAGGTGATCGGAGACACTCTAGATGTAGTTCTGGAGCAGGGTCCAGTCGTACCATGTCGTACCAGAAGATACGACTGGTATAGCTATAGGGATATCATGTTTTTTCGGCTCTTTCGTGAGATCCCGGACGTGAACATGCGGCACTTCCGTGGCCTCATGGACTTGTCCCCGGTAGAGATCGTTGTCCTCGCTGCTGAAGCGTTGAAAGGCCACGCGCATCCTGCGGCGTCGGACCGTCGCTCCACCTCGGTTGATCTCTTCATAGGTGACCCGAAGAGGAGCTTCCTTTACTTCAGTGACTGGAAGAGGAGCTTCCTTGAAATATAAAGGAGCTTCCTGTATATGACCCGAAGGGGAGCTTCCTTTACCCGAAGCAAACAAATAGTTTTTTGGACTTCTAAGGCATACTTATATAGGGCCAGGGTCATGCATCATGTCCCATGTTCTGTAGGAACTGGGTCAGTCGCGTAAGTCGGCAGGTGCAGACAATCACCTGTTAACAATATACTGGAGGACCTTAGTACACTCTCCAGCACTTTGCGGGTGGCTGAGCCTCTCCAAATGTGGACCGGAGAGGAAGGCCCTTAAACGTGGTCGCGCGACCAGCTTCTGGCATCTCCCCTCAGACTTGAGGCCAGGGGGAGAGGTCGAAAGCTAGCCGAATCGCACCGGATGTACTAGTTACATAGTCGGCAAAGCATGTAGGGATTACATGTTTTGGGAGGAAGGTTGCTATGTACATACTTTGCGCTAAAGAATGTAAATGTGACATCGCTGACTGGGAAGGGTACATTGGAACAACCCGGGTGCACTCGTTGGCAGGCACGAAGATGCGTGATCGGCAAATCTGGGGGGTAAATTTACCCTCCGCTTTTGTATGCCTTGAGTCGGAAAGAGGGGTAAGCATTTCTGACATCATACGGACTGTACATACACTAGGGCGTCCGTAGTGTAGGAGAAGCACGGGTGAAAGGTATATGGAATAGAGTGTCTTGAGGAAATAGCCGGTGCATGGTTATTGCAAATCTGGGGGGTAAATTTACCCCCCGCTTATGTATGCCTTGTGCTGGAAAGAGGGGTAAGCATTTCTGGCATCACAAGGACTGTGCATACACTAGGGCGTCCGTAGTGTAGGATAAGCACTGGTAAAAGGTATAAGGAGTAGAGTGTCTTGAGGAAATAGCCGGCTTATGGTTATGGCAATCTG